ACTTGACCGCCGGGGGACTTTGTTCGAAAGACCATTTCACGCGTCTCCGCTGCGACAAAAGTTTATGCATAATATGCGGTTTTTCATACGCCAAACGATATATTTAATAATCAACTCGAGCAGGAAATTGATCGGAAGTCTGTGTGTAATTTTCTAGTGGAATAACTGCGCTCGAAAGTACTTATTTTTATTAATAATTCCGTGAAAGCTCATATATTGAAAAATGATCGAGAAAATTATAAAAATATTTTTTAAATTATTATTGGAATATATTGTATATTCTATACAAATGTGTTCTTTGAGAGTACTATTATGAAACCATGTAAAAATAATTTATTATTCTATTTTTATAGAACATAGTTTATTGTTTGTTAAATTTTGGAGAATTCTTTCAACCCTTAAGTGAACTAGGGCCTCTGCAATGTTAAACTAATAATTGTTTAGTATACATAAATGTAATTATTTGAAAATTTATGCAATCTTCCATTACTTTTAAAATGCTTTGAAAGGAGGTTGATTTCCATTTATCAATTTGGTAAAAATCAACATTAAAGTGATTCAGTTGAACTTGAGAGTAAACTTGAGGGTTAAATAATTTATGAGACCATGTAATAATAATTTATTATTTAGTCTCATCTATCATTCTATTTTTATAGAACACAGTTTATCATTTGTTAAATTTTGGAGAATTCTTTCAACCCTTAAGTGAACTAGGGCTTCTGCAATGTTAAACTAATAATTGTTTAGTATACATAAATGTAATTATTTGGAAATTCATGTAATCGTCCATTACTTTTAAAATGCTTTGAAAGAAGGTTGATTTCCATTTATCAATTTGGTTAAAATCAACATTAAAGTGATTCAGTTGAGATTGAGAGTAAACTTGAGGGTTAAATAATTTATTCCACGAGACACCTGTAGTGCATATAGATTAGTCGAACGAAAAACGTATCGTCTGCGGATTTTGCTTTTCGAGGGTTGCGTGGGTGCATAAAATCGTCCGGATTACGGGTCGGTTGGATTCGTATCGACGATTATGCACCGAAATTTCCCCGGCGCCGTTTCGAATCGAGATATCCTGGCTTTCGTGCGTTAAGCCAGCGTGGGAGCATATTTAATTAACAAAATCCGTCGATTCGCGCCTTCAGGACGAACAGACATTGCAAAAGTACCTGCTTTTGAACAGTGTATGCGATGCATTAAGGGATGAGACTCATATAAAATGGTGGAACATTATTATGATATCCTTATGTACAGTCTAGCATTTTTTTTCTTTTACTTAGAAGAAAAAATCGAACATTCTGTTTATAATAATTAGACTGCGGATTTTTATGCAAATTCATATATTTATTAATAAAATTAATAAAATAAGAGCTTCGTAGAGGGTTCTTTCAGCCCCTAAATACAATAATTCTCATCTTACTTGAGTTTCTGTTATATTTTTCCATATTAAATGCATTCTATAGTTTTCTGACAATCTAAATTTCCCATAAATGCACAAATATCCGCAGTCTAATAATAATTATTATTTAAAATTGCAAGAATCATTTTGTTTTTGTCAGAGCCATATATCTTTCACAATTTTGCATTTTTTAAGGATTTTAGTTAAAATCAGAATAATAGTAATAAAAAGAGTGCTAGACTAGGAATAAACATTTATTATTTCATTGAAACTCGATAACAAAATAATGAAAAAAAAAATATTTGCTTCTTGAAATGTTAAAAAAATATCTGTGAAAAGTTTACACGAGTCTCCCCCTTTAATTTATAAATGAATTATGGCGGATTAAAGAATTGTACGCGAGATAAATGGGAAATTGATTGTAGCCTCCGCCTATTTAGCGATGTTTCGCGACGTTCGATCGTCACAGAAAGCGCGTCAGGGCCCCCGGGGCATAAAAGATCGGTTTATTGCAAAATTGATACCGATAAATTCCATTCCGTACCCGTTGCAAGCGGGGGGAAGGGTCATCCCCCGTTTCGAACCATCCGCCAGAAAGTTTCTGCACCGTGTAATCCGATCTTCGATGCTCGATATATCCGCCAAACGGTGGATTACGTAGCCAAATGAAAAACTGATTACGCCGTTATCGATCAACGGGGGTAAACCCTTTATTCGTCTCGTATTCTTTCGCGTTCGTTTCCAATCGGCCAAACAAAGAGCCCGCCATCGCGCGAAAAATGATTTTCAAATATTCCACTTTTACCATCGGGCTCGATTTCCATGAAATTTCCGCTATCTCCGGTTAATTTTGATCGATGCGGGAAGAAAAATGTCTGCGAGCTAAATCGATCGTCATTTTACATTTCATGAATGTTGTAACGATCCTCGAGAATTTTCGATCTCGAGGCAGAAATGTTTGTCGATGAATTCTATTAACGATTTCGAACCTGTCGTTATCCGCTGTCGTGACTCATTGTTCGATAAATCGTTACGTTTGTACTCGATACGGATTAATTAGTTCCTCATCGATGTATCGATCACAGTCCACGAAAAAAAAAAACGAACAACCCGAGGGGCAATTCCATTTTTTTTCTTTTTGTTTCGACGTACGCCATCACGACCTTATCCGGGCGGAAAATCGCGATTCAGCGCCGAACCTCGATCGTTCTTTTTCCAGGTTCTACCCCATTTTCCACCCCCGTCTCGCAATTTGTTGCAAAACCCGGGCTTAACAATGCGTGGTCCGTTTTTTTAATTACGCTGCAGTCCATTTTTAACAAAACGATGGAAAAGGAACTCGGGAGGAGCGCGTTTGGATCATCCAAACTAAACAAGCTTTTTATATGCGATCGATTTCTCTCCCCCCCCCGGAAGTTAACGCGGTTAAAACTTTTCGGGGGTAAAAAAACGGTCGAACGATCGATCGATTTCTAAATTGACCGATATTTCCATGTAACGGATCGTGAAATCCGGATTGCTCGGTCGGCGAAACGGAAAGACGATATTTTGAAGAATAAACGGGGGGCCAGGCTGTATCGTTGCAATTACAGATGATCGAAAGCGCGTATCCGGTCGTCCCTTGGCTTTTCCGTATTGCATCCACGTCGCGTCGCGGCGAGCCCCGACCGCGTCTCTTATTACTACATTAATCCTTTTCGCTTCGATTTATTTCCGGTTGTTCCAACCCCCCCACCACCACCCTCTTCTGTCGCAACAGAAGTTGATTTTGTAATTAACCTTTCGATATTTACCGCTTCGTTTATTTTGCCCATCGAGCGCAGGCGAAATATACTTTTCGGCGGCCCGCTGATTGACGAATCCAATTAAAAACGGGGAAAATTCGTGCGCGCAGTCGCTGCCAACGTCTCCTCCGCGTTCGTTTTCCAACCCCCCTTGCCCCCTCCCTGGCTGATACGTTGAATCAACAATTACTAAATTACCGGACGAAATGAAAATTTCGCCCGCGGCGACGACGCGGCTGGATGGCAAATTAGTTGCTCGGGGGAAATTCATTATTTTGGCCACGCTTGAAGGGAACCCCCGGTTTCTTGTCATCCCGCGTCTCCAGAACCGGAACAGAATTACGCAAGTTCAATCAGAACCGTTCGAAGGAGTCAATTTTCTCTTCTGGAGGGGGTCCAGAAGCTTAATACTGTTGTAAATTTAATTTTAAGATTCACTTTCTGTGATATAATCATAATATATTATTATAAAAATATATTAATTAACATAAGTTATATGTTATATTAAGATATATTATTAACATAAGTTATGTAATCAGTGATCTGATAAATCAGAAGGGAATTTCTCAAGTAATATTGTTTGTATTTCAAGGTATTAGACCTAAGTTGCCAAACGATTTGAAACCGAGAATGTATCTGGTCAGCCATCTTGGAAATTTAGTTTTAAGCTTCACTTTCGATAATAGTATGAGAGATATGTTATGTAATCAGTGATCTGATGAACCAAAGGGGAATTCTCATGTCACATTCTATCTATTTCAAGCTTTAAAACTTAGGTATAATATTGTTGGATCATAGTTTTATGTCAAACAGTTTGGAACCGCGAATTTATGTGATCCAGAGGCTCTCAACCCTCTTGCAAGAGATTAATTATATAATCACTGATTTGATGAATCTAAAGTGAATGTCTCAAGTAATAATATTGTTTATATAAAATTGTTGAATCATAATTTCACTCCAAACAGTTTGGAACCAAGAATTTATGTGATCCAGAGGCTCCAACCCTCTTGTCAGAGATTAATTATATCCTCTCTGATCTGATGAATCAAAAGTGAATCTTTCAAGTAATATTGTTTGCATAAAATTGTTGAATCATAATTTCACTCCAAACAGTTTGGAACCGCGAATTTATGTGATCCAGAGGCTCTCAACCCTCTTGCAAGAGATTAATTATATAATCACTGATTTGATGAATCTAAAGTGAATGTCTCAAGTAATAATATTGTTTATATAAAATTGTTGAATCATAATTTCACTCCAAACAGTTTGGAACCAAGAATTTATGTGATCCAGAGGCTCCAACCCTCTTGTCAGAGATTAATTATATCCTCTCTGATCTGATGAATCAAAAGTGAATCTTTCAAGTAATATTGTTTGCATAAAATTGTTGAATCATAATTTCACTCCAAACAGTTTGGAACCGCGAATTTATGTGATCCAGAGGCTCCAACCCTCTTGCATATTTAATTCATATTCAGTACCATAAGCTCCACTTTCTATAATAGTACAAGAAACAAATTATATCCTCACTGATTTGATGAATCAAAAGTGAATCTCTAAATATTGTTTATATTTCAAGGTATGAAATAGTTAAATGATAGTTTTACGCCCTACTAATCCAGTCTTTTATATTTTCCAGAATCCAGGACCTTTCAAGATGCATCCTGTCCAAGAAAAAAATCGCTCCAACCTGCTATAAACATGCATCCGGTAAAGCGTTCATCCCCGTTTGCTCCATGGTCTAGGAACGCGAGAGGGAGGAACAGAGCAAAACCTGGGTTTCTTTCGTCATCGTACAAGGGACTATACGTTACCTTTTTCATCCGTCTGGCAGCAGCCCAAAAGGGACGCCGTTACTGCTAAGAACATTAACAGCCCCATGTCGTTGAGAAACATTAGACTCCTCCAGGAACGTCCTATCCTTCCAGCCTCTGTGTCCCCTCGATCCTCGTCCTCTTCCACTCCCAGAATCCCAAAACTTCGCAGCTATGTTTCCACGCGACGAGTGGCTATTTAAGAACCAGCTTGAATATTTTTCCCCCCCCCAATACGTTTCCGATCGAATACTACTCCTGTCGACGTTGATGACTCAAGCTCAGCAACGCGGCGAGGAGCACCCGTCGTTTCAGTCAACGTTCACCAACACTCGTCTCTATTTTAGGGAACGAATCAGAGGCCAGGTCGTAGCAACGCGGAAACGGCGCCAACGGCGGCTAGCGTCGCACCAAACCGTGAAATCGAACGCTTCCTCGACGACGACGCTGCTGGATGACCTCTGCTCCCGGAATCGACGCTGGCTGGCATCCTCCTCGTTCTCTAGCCACCCCCCCTTTCGCTGACCCGTTCGTTTCTGCAAAGGACACCGGTGCACAGGTGTATAGCGACGGCCACGTTTTCACTCTGGCGCGGTTTAATCAACGCCGGGGCGGGATTTCGGGTTTTAGGACGCGTTTACATTGCCCCCCGCGCGCTCACGGTTTTTGGCGCAGCGAGCCTCCCTCTGCTCCCCGAGCGTTTAACCTTAGCGTAAATTTTACAAAGTCCGGTTGTTTACTACGTTTTTTCGCGACAGTAGGATTATCTTTTACTTCCGGCCGGCGGGACAAGGGTTCCCCCACGCGAGATAAGCCGGATTAGTTTGTTAAACAGTTGCGTCGACAGTCGTTATCGCGAGCTTCACGAGCACTCGTGCAGTTTCCTTAAAAAATGTCCATTTTGATTTGTTTTGGTAGACAATGTTCGATCATTCCTAGGCTATTCTGTGCTATGAGGTACTCTGAGTTTATTGAAACAAGTCCCTCTTGATATTGTACGTCGCGTGTGGTTTATGCATGACGGTGCACCGGCACATTTCAAGTGGCCAAGGCAGGTCCTGAACGAACGATTCTCTAACAGATGGATGGCTCGTGCAGGACCTATTGCCTATCCTCCTCGTAGCCTGGCTTTAAGCCCGTGTTTCTAGTCTCAAAACTAAACCCAAGTTGGCAGAGCTTTTTCTTGATATTAAGGAGACAGAGACATTTGCTGAAATTTGTCAGTTTTATGGGACGATACGATATTATTAATTTCATATATGGCTATTGTTTCCAAGCGTTTTTGGCACTGATTGCTCCAGTGACTCATTTGAGCGAAGATTGATTATATCTGATACTTGGCAGTGAGTTTATTTAGCAACTAATTCTGAAAAAGAGTCACTTTGATGGCTAGATCGATACTGCGATATTATATAAACGTACTCGGTGACGATTCTTTGTTTAAAAATCGTACACGTGGGACAATAGACATTTATGGCACCAAACACGAAAATCCTTTCTAACTCCCAGGCATTGATTTTTTTCCGGCCAATATTGACCCGTGCATTTATTACTCGATTCTGCTAGTACTGCGTGTTCTGGAAGTTTGCACATATTTTTTTTAACACCTTAAACAAAGCGTAGCCAGGCGGAGATAAATACAGCGTGTTCGATAATCCGTTGTTCAGACTGCGGGGAACCATTTCCTCGCGATAGAAAAACGAGCGAAAAATATCGTACACATTGTTTTGATTGCGTGGTTTACGAGAAAGTCAGTTTTCTAGAACAAGCGTAACAGGAAAAGGGATCCTCAGGTCGTTTGAGCTCTTAAAGAGGAAGAAATATGAGTCCTGGATCATTCAAATCAATTTCTAATATTAGTTTTGGCTCTCAAAGAAGTGGTTAGGGACCAAACTATGACAAAAGTCAAGAATTTCAATTTATTGATGGAGATTTCGTTAAGAGGCTGTTGGTGGCTGTTGACGTTCAAAATTCCGCTCGTATTGAATTTTTTTCTCGAAAGTGGATAGGATTTTGGGGGTATGTCTATTGACAAAAAATGATTGTTATTGATGCCCCTAGCTAAAAATATTTTTTTCAAAATGATTCAAAATTTTTTAATTTTTAAAAATTTCTCCACCTATTCGAATTTTTTTCTAAAAAGAGGGTAGGAATTCGGGGGTATGTCTATTGAAAAAAAATGATTGTAATTGATCCATCTAGCTAAAAATAATTTTTTCAAAATGATTCAAAATTTTTTAATTTTTAAAAATTTCTCCACCTACTCGAATTTTTTTCTCGAAATTGGGTAGGAATTCGGGGGTATGTCTATTGACGAAAAATGATTGTAATTGATGCCCCTAGCTAAAAATAATTTTTTCAAAATGATTCAAAATTTTTTAATTTTAAAAAATTTCTCCACCTACTCGAATTTTTTTCTCGAAATTGGGTAGGAATTCGGGGGTATGTCTATTGACCGAAAATAGTTATAATTGACCCCCGTAACCGAAAATAATTTTTCCAAAATGATTTGGAATTTTTTTTTTCAACGAAAAATTTATCCATTTATTGAATTTTTTTCTCAAAACTAGATAGGAATTCGAGGGTATGTGTATTCACAAAAAATGACTGTAATCGACCCTAGTAACCAAAAATAATTTTTTTAGAATGATTTGAAATTTCTCAATTTCGCCGAAAAGTCCAAGTTCCTGAATTTTTTTTTCAAAAGTGCGTAGGATTTCGAGGGTCCGTCTATTCACCAAAAACAATTGTAATCAACCCCTGCAACCGAAAATAATTTTTCCAGAACCATTTGAAACACATGAAACTTCAGAGAGAATCATTCATTCACGATCGGACATATTTTCGCTAACGAATTTTTTTCTCGAAACTGGCTAGGATTTCGTGGGTATATCTATTCACCAAAAACGATCGTAATCGACCCCCGCAACCGAAAATAATTTTTCCAGAACGATTTCAAATATTTTACCTTAATTTTTTAATAACTTTTTAACAAAGTCTAAATCAACAAATTTCTTAATTTTCGTCTTATCTTGGCCTCTAGAATCTCCCGTTAAAATTCAACACCCTGTACAAACAATGTCCGTAAATCTAGTGTTAATGTCGCCCCGGCTAAATTAGAGTATTTGTCCAACGCGAGCCAATGTTGCAACAATGTTCCAGGCGTATTTGTTCACCTAATCGACGACAAACAAACTAGCGAAAATATTTGTAATTAGTTAAGCTAGAATAATAATAATACCAGCGCGCATAATTCCTCTCGCGAGTGGCTGGACCGTCGCTCCGACGTGTTCTTATTCTATATTTACCGAGTGTCCGGTGACTTGCGAGAATATACACGGTACGCTGTGTGGCAATAATTCTGTCCACCGAAAATACTCTCGATATTTTCGAGGGGGGGCGTTAAAAAATGTTTACAAAGTTTCTAACCGCCCGGTGTTCTTTGTGGATGGTAACGTAAAGGAGATTTCATTATGGCTCCATCGATGCCGCGCGCGCGGGTGTCGTAAATAACATTTTTTCCGGGGGGGGCCGGCGTCAAAAATATTGGAAATGTTTCGAGCGGAGAGAGTTATTGCCCCGGCGTATAAGCGTTACAAGGAACAACCAACGAACTCTGCCGGCCCCTTAAAGGCGATCGGAGCTTTTTACCGCACACCTGACACGGAAACACGTGTTTGTTCCGCGACAGAACGTCCCAGCCAGTGTAAACCTGCCCTTACGCGACGTATCGCTCGATTCACCGACCGCCACTTAGGAGACACTTGGAACCAGAGACGTTTTTCTTCCCCAACCAGTACACGCCATCGACTTCTTTTTCCGCTCGCGAGACCGGAAATTATCGCGTCGAAAACCGTCGTAACGCGTTGCAAAGAAACTACCCGGGGACTCCATCGTATTGTTTGCGAAGTTGTAAAGTTCGCCACTGAAATTCAGCGATTAGTTTAACCGCGTAACCGTCTCCGCTAAACGCGTTAAACCGCCAAACTTTTACTTTTACAGTAATTCCCCGTAACTCGTGCAATTTTATTTAATATAGCAAATATTAAGCGTCTTTTTCGCTCTAGAGGCTAATCGAATTCTCGCGCCATTTTTCTCATACATATTCCCAAAAGGAACACACGGGCATCGATACGTAATAAAAGAAATAAAAGCAAAATGGCCGCTCGGAATATGCATTGTATATTAATCGATCCAACACTTTGGCTTTCGATCTTTCGCAATCAATTTACACTTAAAATCTTTCAAGCTTTTAAAATCCATAAGAAACAAAGAATTGCGATGTAAATCGATCGGATATCTTTGCTACCTTCGATGGCCACAGAATTTAATTTAAAATTCACCGAAGGGGTTAATTTTTACAAATGTTTCCGGTTTCCGGTTTCCGGTTTCAGGGAAGCCTCGCGAGGTCGTTAAAAAAAATGCCAAAAGCGTTGGAAACTCGGCGCACATTATTGCATTAAAGTTTCAAATTTATCGCGTTTACGCTATTCCACCGAAAATAGAATTCGCAGCCGACGAACGAGGATACCCCTTTAATTCATTATCGGGAGTCGGATACGTGGGCGTTTTCGGTAGCGACGATGGAATCGTGGCTGGAATTTCATCTTCCAAAAAGGGAATCCGTTCGACGTCGCTTTTTCCACCCCCCTCCCCCATCCACCCGCCCCCTGGTTGCATTTACGGCGCGCATCGGTGAACGAGACTCGAGTGCGCGATGTCGAGCGTAAAAAATCGCTTATTATTCTATGAAAAGCTAACGATCGTCCGGATTCCCGTGCGTTTATTTTCTCGCCGGAAACCGACGAGCTTTTAAATCCGTTAAAAAAATCCATAGCCAGCCCCCCCTCCCCCCACGGACGATGTCGGGTGAATTCGAACGCGAGCGGATCCTTTTCGCGGTCGATCGACTCTCGAATTCCGGCTAGGGGGTGGTGGGGCGGTAAAAAAAGGGATATTTTTTGGTCGAGGCCAGTCTAAACGTTCGAACGACCTTCGTTTCCCTCTTTCGAAGGCGGTGGATCCTCGAAAAGTGAACGGAGGACGTTCATATTTGTCCCCCGGTCGTTTCTATTCGACGAA